TCGCCTGTGACTTGCCTCTTTATGTCTTGTAAATACACATATTACAAGTAGTTAATAATCCTACTTTTATTTCTGATCGAGCTCTGTGTGGAAACAGTTGGCAAATCATGGAAAAGTCTGTCCCCACCATGCTGACTGCCAGGTAGAACATGTCGGTCTCTGAGGAAAACCAAACAACAGAGATATGTCAAAAATGAATTCAAGCACATCACAGCCATGCAATAAATTTAAATGACAATCTGTGTGGGCTGAACCTTCAATCGACCAGGGTTTGGAGTAATTTGATTTCCTGAAGCTTGAGTAAGTTGTCGTGGAGCCTCTCTCAAAGATCGGGTCTCTGTCGGACGCCGGGTTCGGCCCTTTGGCTCGCTGGACTTCCACCGTTAAGCTGAGAGGAGGTTTGATAAATCACAAAAAAGAAAAACAGTCAAACATCACTTGATTGCAAAACAAAGAGGGATCATAAGGCACTGTGAAGAACTCTGCTTACCTCTCTTCATCAATGATCAGCGAGCCGTCTTCTGCTACTTTGAGCTGAGGAACCATGAGAGATTCCTCCTGATCTTCCTCTGCCGCAGCCTCTTCCTCCTCCTCCTCCGCCTCTTCTTCTTCTCTGGTATTCACTTTGGCAGGGGTGACCTCAGGTACCGGAGGACGCTCTGCTGACCTTTAGGAGTTGGAAAACATAATGTGTGTTGGAATAAAACATCTTTTTAAGAGACATTATTCAGCCCACTGCACTGTGGATTTCAGGCAAAAATGTGTAACTTTATCCAAAATATTCCTTCATTTAATGTCATTTAGCTTGAAGTGAAAACCAAAATTGAGACAGCACGCTAAGAGCATTTCTGAATGAAGGGTACTAAAGGCGGTCAAAGTTCAAACGTAGCAGATTTCATGCATAATAAGCACCACCAGAGGATGCTCACAAGTCATTTTTTTCATATTTTATTTTATATCAGATGCAAGCTATGTTCATTTTGTACCTAAAGTAATTTCCTATAGACCTCATCTTCAGATAAATTTGTGTTTATAAATTTAAAAAGTCTCGCTGCTGTTGAACGGCTCTCATCAAGGTGTAAAGCAATAAAGCCAAATTCTAGCAGACCACAGTGACACCTGCTGGCCAGATAAAGCCATAGCAACCTAAAGAGCAAAACACAAAGTATGTTAGTCTTCAAAAAGGAATGTTTTAAATCTCTAAATAGTTTGCTCTTTTTATATAAATTAACACTTAAATTGTTTTATTAATTAGAATCACAGGCTTGTTGATAACACTTCAACTTTTCACTAGAAATGCAACTAAACTCTATAAGACGTTTGCTAGACAGAAGGAGTCAAGCAAACGTCTGATGTTGCCATTGGTATTCAAAGTTATATCAAAAATAAGATTAAATAAGAAACTCTCATTTATGGAGACATCTTAAGTAACATTTTTCCCAATGTTCTCCATCAATAAACCCACAGTAAGGCCATCATGTATAATGAGACAAACACACCCTTCTCTTCTTGGCGAAGGTGGGATCACCGTCTCGTTCTCCTCGTTGTGTTCTTCCAAACTGGATCTGAAAAGATGGACAAATCAGGTTTTAAAAAGCAGCTTCATTCACAATCACGAAATATCATCTCAGAGATGCTGACCTGGAGAAAATGTCAAGAAACGTACCTCATGGGATTGGACGTAGGGAGGTAATGGATGAGGTCTCTCATGGTCATTTTTGTTGGGTCTAAAGTGAAGTCCTTTCGACGTGTTTTAGCTCTTTTGAGATTCTGCAACACAAAATGATGCAGTATTTTATTTATATCCAATAATACTGGTGTTGATAGCAATAAGAAAAACTTTCATGAAGTTAAATGTCCTGTATGCTAAGAATATGAATAATCCTGAGCCAACCGTTTCTTTGGAGCGCTCCTGCTTCAGCAGCTCTCTCAGCCTCCGAGCCTTTAGCATCCTCTGTACGTCTGACGGGTCATTCAGGAGTCTGCTCAGGGACATCGCTGATGGGGTCATTGAAATTACATTTTTTGATGATATGAGAGTCTTGGCTTTCTCTGATATTTCTGTAGCTTCCTTGTCTGGTATAGAAGGTGGCACTCTGTCGTGTGCTCTTGAATGAACTTCCTTGGCCTGACTGGTTGAAATGTTTTCCACTTGTTTGCTGCGGTCTGCCAGCAGATGGGTTGGCTTTGGCGAGTCCTCAGACGGAGGAACAGACGGAGGTCCTGGTTTCTCAGAGGAGACAGGGCCGACTTTTGGTTGTATTTTGTGCTGCTTTGCATCTTCAGAGAGTCTCCTTCGCCTCGGGGACTGGAGTCCTCGAGGGGCTGGCGTTTTCGCCAGCTGACTCGATGTCGATGGCTTTTCTAGGTCTGACCCACACACGTTGTCACCTGAAGGTGTAGAGGCTGCTTTGACAGGGGATTTTGGTGTTCGGGAGATGGCCGGAGGCCGACCAGGAGCCACCTTGGGCTTGATGGAGAAGCGCTTCCGTCTCTGGACTGATGCTGAGGAGCTGGCGCCGTCCCCGTTCTGGTCATTGCCATCCCTAAACAAATATCTGAAGAGTTAGTTTGGCTGCTCAATGTTAAAGAAAAAGCTACAGGTACTCGAGTAGCTTGAGTCGACTTTCCCACTCACCTCGTACTGGGAGCGTTTTCTGATGGCGTCGCGTCAGAGTTGCTTGCTAGAGAAGCGTTACTGCCCTCGTTTGGTTCCTTTTGGGTCTGACTTGTCTCCTGGCTTGCTGCTGGGGGTTCCTGAGGCGTTCCCGCTGCCGTTCTCCCGACCGTGCCGACATTGGGGCGGACACTGAATCTCGACCGACGAAACATATTAACCTGAAGACCAGAGATTACGAAGCAGTGCAGTTAAAACTGCAAGACCAATTTATCCAGAGATAGCAAGTCATTATTTAACAGCTACTTCAAAAGTCTTTAAGACTGACAGTTAAAGAGCAATTTGCTTAGCTTATATATTTTCAAAAATATTTACTCAACCACAACTTAATGCAAAAATATTTAATGAATCATATGTATATCGTACCACAAAATGACAGCCTTAGCTAGGAAACTCCAAGTCCAGAGTTACATGTTCATCAGTTCTCTCAACCTGATAACAAAATAAAATCAGGATCAGTTAATAAGCCTATATCCTCACATACTCTCAGCTACAGCTGTGATAAAGTGATTTATCATGCTATTCTTTGCCTTTTCTGTCTTTTATCATTGTAATTTCAATCAAACATCCACAGGATCATACACTTGTATTATTGATTAGCTATAATAATCATCTAGTAATGTAAAGAAGGAATTCATAAGAACATAGATTGCCTTGAAAAAATATTCACATCCCCTTGAAAATTTTCCCCCATTCTGTCATATTACATCACAAACCTTCAGTGTATTTTATTGTGAATTTATGCAATAGAGCAACACAATGTAGCACATAATTGTGAAGTGGAAAGAACAGTTTATATAGTTTTCAAGATATTTAAGAAATAAAAATCTAAAGAAAAATTGATTGCATTTGAAAGCAGTCTCTTTTACTCTGATACGGAAAAATCAAACCCTAAAGCAACCATTTGAATTTACAGCACATCTTTGCATAAATCAATTAAATATTAGTTATGAAAGAGTGCTGCAGTTTCCACAATGCATGGGGAAACAATAAATATGTAAGATGTGCTGCACTGATCAGATGACAACAGAAATACAGAAAAATTACAGTCTAAAAACAATCATTTGTCATAGCAATTTATGTGGATAAAGCATTTATGCACAACTTTTTATTGTTGTTGTTGGTCTACTACCAATAAAAGGCAGTAACTTTATGGTTGTAATGAAATAAAAGATGAAATCAAATAGCTATGAATAAGTTTGCAAGGTCACGTGTAAAAAAAATTGTTTTTAAAAGCTAGCACAATTAGTTTGATTGCCACCAATTATTTAAATGTTTAGCTACAGTAAACATGTAATCTGTTGCATGGAAACTAAGAAACCGTTAAAACAGGCTCTGCAGAGCTTCGTAAGACATATTTTGCACAGGCAGTTTACAGCAATAAAACACTATTTTTAGTACAACAAATAATCAACTTGTCCAACTTCTGCACCAAAACTAAGAATGTTTTGACTACAATCCACTGCTCTTTCCAGCTAAGTCTCAGCTGTTCGGTTAACTGTCAAGGCCAGCGATGTTCGACACATGGGAGAGCGTTTAGGGTTAGTGTAAACATAAATCTACTAAATAATTGAGCGACCACACCTTTGTGCAAAAACGACTCTCGCGCCAAATAAAGCGCACCTTTTCACGGCAAGTAGAAAAGTGCACAAGGCAGCGCTTACACCCCATAACAATGCTTCAGTGTGGCAGCCTGTCTGAGATATAGCTTCATGCTATCAAAGTAGTGTGACTCAAACGACCGTAACAATCTCACCGACACGTTCGTAGCAACGTACCTGCTCAACAGTATCCCGTTTTCTTGAATAAGCAAGCCACAATGTATCGAAGAAAAGAAATAGGTAGCGGATCCCGTGCGATAACTAGTCCGCCATGTTTTTTTATGACGTAAATTTCATGTCTACGGTAAATTCTCTCAGTGTAAAGATTTGTGGGAAACGTAGTCTCGCGATACAACGGTTCAACAACAGTTGTTCTCCACCAGGGGGCGACATCTGAAAAATGATCAAATAAATTAGAGGAATCAGGAGAGAATGGAAATCCCTTGTTTTCCAGATGAAATGAAGAATTGCAGTGAATGATGAGGAAAAAGTAGAATTGTGCTCTGTTGAGTGTGGTAGAAATTAAAAAACAAAGTAACACTTTACTTGACGGGTGTGCATAAGACTGACATTACACTGTCATAAACATGACATGACACCTGTTATGAACACGAAAGAGTCTTTATGAATGTCTGTGACTGTTGTCATGAAGTGTTATTTGGTAAATAATAACACTTTTAATGCAAAGTTGCTCTAAAAGTTGCAGTGAAAGTCCAGCAGCAGCACCAACTGTCCTTCCTACATCCACTGCAGTTTGCAATCCAGATGTTGGACTGTTCCTGTCTCAGTGGAGGACAATGTGTGTCTGAGAGACATGTAATGTCCATGTTTGCTGCTGAAAGAGACTGATGGTCTGACCCCCCTCCTCCTTTCAGGGTGGAGCCTGCTGGAGGCCCATTCTTGACACCAGGTCCATGGAGACTGAGGAAGTGTAAGTGTGTTTTTCATCTGATTCATGACAACAAAGCAGCTCACATTCAACCATCTTCAAACTGTCACATCACTCATTCAGGATCATCATCAAAATGTCAATAAATGATCAATAGCTGCAGCTGGATTGTGTTTGTTCTCTCCATCAGATTCCTGTCAACTCACCATCAACACAAACACAGTGAGCAGAAAACTCAAACTGTCTAAAGACAACAGGAAGGTGACATGGATGGAGGAGCTTCAGTCATATCCTGATCATCCAAACAGATTTGATGACTGGAATCAGCTGCTGTGTACAACTGGTCTGACTGGCCGTTGTTACTGGGAGGTCAAGTGGAGAGGAACAGTTTTTATATCAGTGAGTTACAGAAGAATCAAGAGGAAAGGAAACGGTATGGACTGTTTGTTTGGAGGGAATGATGATTCCTGGAGTCTGAACTGCTCTGATGTTGGTTACTCTGTCTGTCACAATAACAGACCAACTCATCTCTCCTCCTCCTTTGACTCTAACAGAGTAGCAGTGTATGTGGACTGTCCTGCTGGCATTCTGTCCTTCTACAGAGTCTCCTCTGACTCACTGATCCACCTCCACACCTTCAACACCACATTCACTGAACCTCTGATTCCTGGATTAACAGTCTGGTCTGGATCCTCAGTGTTTCTGTGCTGAGTTGAGTCTAAAGAGTCTAAAGATTTTCCTCCTGTCAGAGAAACTCTCTCACTGTTGAACAGATAGTTCATCTCTACAATCTATTTCTTGGTGAAACAATTTTGATTGAGTCCTTGGAAACCTTTTCTACTTCCAGTTTTTTAAAGATGGAAGCTGGAATTATTCAAGGATTATTCCAGGATTATTCCAGGATCCACATGTTTTTGTGTTGTTTCCAGTCAAAGCTTCACTCTGAATATCAAGATGTTTCTCTTAGTTTTTCCCTTCATTCATCAGATTTCATTGACATGTTGATCAGTTTTTCTCAATCCCTGAACATTTTCTGATTTTGTCGGCTCCTATTTTTCTAAACACGTCAGATTTGAATGTTAAATCTTCCTTTTCTATATTTGCTGCAGTTTTTCTTCATGTGTTCTAGAGAAATAAATTTTGTTTCTTCTTCTGCATTTGGTTCATTTGCTGCTCATTCTGTTCTTTTCCTGTTCAAATTTAAATATTGCAACAGGAACCAAACGTCTCTCCTCCAACTTATTTCACTGATTAATAACAAGGTTGGATAAAAACATTGAGCTGAGCTTCTCATTCCTTAAAGAGTCGTGAAGAAAGACTCACCCTGGAACTGCAGAAAAGAAGTTATAAAGATTAAAAAAAACATACATTTTGCATTTAAGATGGAAAAAACTTTGAAAATATATTCTTATACGTGATTTAATTATCTGTTTATTTGTATCTTAATGTATAAAACTGCATAAAAAAGGCATAAAGGGTTAAATGAAAAATCTTCAGAATGAGCCAATTTTCAATCAGACTGATCATCAGAATAATTGATAACATTGGGGTTATTTAAATACAGGTTTGTCTCACCAAATTTATTTCCACCAGTTAATTGGGGCTTACTCATTATTCTTCAAACTTGAATGTTTCACTGCAGCTTTGTTTTGTTCCTGTTGCATCCAAGCTGGACGTTGACCCCCATGAATGTTTCCCCTCATGCAGAACCTGAGCAGAGACATTTATGACTTTTATACCCAGTACGAGAGCCAAGAGGTGCTGCTGGTGTCGCCGTCTCATGTTCTGATGTCTCCGACGAAACACTCGACCCTCAACATCAACATTTAGAAAATGATACAGGAATGCAGTTTTCCTACTTTCCCACTTGAAACAATCTAGTCTAAATATCATATACAGGGACGCATCGATATGAAAATCTGGGGGAGGGGGGCTTATATAATATTGATGTAATTTTGTTGTTACAGCCGAAAATTAGCATTATTAAGACTTTTGATATAGTTATTTTCTGTTTGAAAATGCTTTCATGTTGAAAATGCTTTGACAATAGCAATTTTAGCGTTTCAAAGCTGTGTTTAAGTGCATTCGGTTTGTCGGAAATGAATAAACAGGAAATTCTTTGCAGATTTCAGAAGCACTCTTATAGTTTATGAAGTTTTGCGTTCTCCGTATATCCAACATTGCCGAGCTCTTTCTACGTTGTGGGATTTACTGACAAATTTGTACAGGAAACATAAAATTCTGCAGGCAACTGTTTGGACACCACAAAGGGGCTTCCACGCAATTCTTAATTCAGATATCTAAAATTGTAATTTTGATTAGTCATAAATAAGTTCAAGATATCTTAAATTGTAATTACGGATATGTGTCCGGTCAAATGACAGATCCAGAGGCATCATTCGTGATATCTTGAAAGGAATTTTGACTCGTCAAAATGTAATTGAAGATATCTTGAATTATTATTCTTACCAGTCAGAATGTAAATGCAGATATCTTAAATTACCATTTGGGATAGTCAAAATATAGTTTTGTCTATAGTCAAAATGCATTTTTAGATATCTGGAATGTAATTACGGATAGTCAGTCGAAACCGAATTTATGCTAAAACGGCTTGCCATAGACCCTCCTCATTAACATAACGATGCAGGAGGCTATGACAAAAGGAGGGCTTGTATAACGATAAGACAAAACAAAATATCTACTTTTCTTGACAAAAACGCATGTTTAGGGGAAATGAAAAAGAAAATATTTACATTTCTTGACAGAAACTTATGTGTGAGGACAAGGAAAAACTAAATATATATTTATGCTTTTATTTCTTATGTCAGTTTTGGTCCTCCATAGTAGTTCAAAATGTAAAAGGAACATAAATAAGCTTGAACCTTTTCACATTTTGCCATTTGTAGCAAAAAACTTCAACGTATTTTTAATAGATTTTGTGTTATAGGTCAACCACCATGGCTGTGTATTTTCTGAATTCTGTTTTTTTTTTTATCTAAAAAAAAAAAAAAACATTTTTCTTTTTCCTATTATAACCGAATCGTAAATTATTAATCTAAACAGACTC